TTTTACGAAGCGTATAATCCTTCCAAAGTATTATTCGTGTAATTTTGTCAGAATTTGTAAAATTTTTGCATTTCTCATGTTAAAATTAGCTTGGATTTTGTTGAATGAATCACCAGTGTTAGTGAAGCTAGGTTTGGATTCAAATACTTTCTAGAGAAGTTTGCACTAAAATCTGTTACAAAATTATTATACTTGTCACAAGTTAATACTAATATTCCACTGTGAGGGTCCTGAAGTCACTACATCAAATATATATGAGATTCGCCGATGGTCGAGGTATAAGTTTCAACGATTTTTTTCAATCATTGGTTATAACAGTACTTTTAATGCATTAACTAGTTTACATATTATAAAAGGTCATACTAAAGAAAAGACTCAAATTTTTGCTCGGATTATCGTCTTCATCGAATAGATGATTTTCACGGAAATTCAGAAATGTCATTCACTAATAACTGTTACAATGACTATCGACTTAAGTAAACATATATCATATAAAATGATACTTCAACAAAAAAAAGAAGCTCCGTGCTAAGCTATTACTCGAATATCGAACATAATGTCTTGGACACATTAGAAGTTTGAGGTCTTCTATATTGTCTTATCATTTACAAGTTACAAGAGAGTGTTCTATGGTATACTTAAAAAAGGTCATATTTTTTTTTATAACCTCCCTGATATTTTTTATGTTCGATTCATTTTAGCTCAATAAATCGTTAGTCAACGAGTTTATTTCACATTCCGACCAAGTAAAAAAAACAGATAATATTCTGTGAGAAAAAAAAAGAAGGGAAGAATCATTACTAATAAGAAGAGTATTCTTAGAACAATATAGTCAATGTAGTCATAACCATGATACGTACAATATACAATAGCAGTATTTTTTTTTTCTAAATAATAACATCTATTACTGGTAATGGTTTATTTTCCACAATAGCTTAATAACTAACAGAAAGAAAATTAATTTTTTTTTTTGTCAAATTTATTTAAGTCAATTGCCTATGGTAGCGTTTGTCTAGTATAGATAAAATTCATCCACAGTGTAATATGTCACTCACATACTTATCAGCTTCAAGCTAACATGAATGAATACGGTTATCTACGAAAAACATTTCATAAAAAAACAAAGTAGTCACAGACGTATTTAGAGTTTTTTTTGCGTCTGTTTCGAAAAATATCTTCGTATCTTTTTGTGAAAAAAAAAATACGTTCTCAAACTTTAAAAAAAAATGTTTCATAGATCACACTTTGACAGGTGTATCTCAAGATATATTTTTCTCAATTATGAAAAAGCTATCATTTCTGATAACCAAGTTTGTGAATTCAATGAGATTTTATTGGCTATTCTCCGGTTTTATAAATAAGAAATTATTATACTGTTGGTTAGAGCATGTCGAGTTTAAATTTGAAATAAGTACTAGGATCAACTCTATCGAATAATACCTGAATTTGAATGTAACTTCATATACGTTTACATACCTGGTATGATAAAATAAAATAAAGTTAATGTGTGTCAACACTTTGCTTATGTGCGATAATATTGCTTGATTTTACTTCTTTTCTTTCTTCTAGACAGACTATCGAAGATTTTATGCGTGTTTATGTGCGCGGTTATCTGCTTTTTGATAGTCGTATGAAGAATGCAAGTTTTTACCTCTTTTCATGTGCGCAGACCGCTAATCTGATAAGAGAGGTAGAGAATAAGCAATAACTTCTAGGTCTTTTACAACATTCTTCCAGTAGTAATACTTGAAAAAACCAGTCTCACCATCACTAGAAAACTTTCGATTGTGCTTTTTTTGAAGTATCATCAATTATATTTGATAATAAAAATAGCATAGCTATCGAACTCGAAGCTTTTCTTCATGCAAATAAATAGAATTCATAAATACTTACTTTGATATCAATAATGGCTTTGCATCACTTCAAATCTTCGATATTCACTGTTGATGTTAGGTCAAAATTACTAAATAATATATCTTAATATATGGATAGTTTATATTAGTGTCATTACAAAGAGTTTCACTATGCCAGAATGTACTTTATTGGAACTTGAGCTCATCGAATATGAACACAAGCGAAATAACAAGCTATTCATGAATCGCATATTTCAGAAGAACATGTTTTTGTGTATTTTTTTTTTTTTTTGGTAAAAATATTATTTCAGACGTCTAAAATACTAGTTTGTCTCATATTGTTCTGATGAGGTATTTTCATTGCGTTCGGTTCGAAGCATATTTTCAATGGCCTTGCCATTGAGAAGACCATGTTAATGATATCTATGCAAAATATTTATTCGTATATACACACACACTGTATGTTATTATCTTGTTTTTATAAAAAGCATATTCAAGTCCTCATAGTAATTTAGATATTGTCACTAAAGATGATAAAAGTTTCCTCATCGATTGAAAAACTTAAATGGACTACTGCAGATTTTCTCTTAGAAAATGTCAGAAGCTATTGATTAACAGCAAAGAAAATGGAAATATTTGAATTATTTTAATGATCATCTTATGTTGCGTACCGATCAGATCTTGTAGCTGTTTATCTGTCAAAACTTCGATTGTGTCTAGAAACGAACATGTTGCTAGGTAACAATTCGGTGGAATACGACTCACGTCTCTGAGAAATTCACAAAGAATCAATTATTCGTTCAATATTATACGTAACTCTTTGTCTGAACATGTGTATTATCCATAGAAACAACTCTCATTTCTTTGTTCGAATCTCAGTTGAATGATCGATTTCCATCATTATTTTAAAACCTATAATAGTTAGATTAACTAATCTAGGCTTTATGACTGTCTGTTAAAGTGAAAACTTTGTTTTTGAACCCTGAACATTTATCTCCGAGAATTTTTAACATACAAGAACTTATTTTTTGTTTTGAAAAGTGAGTGTACAAGTAAGTGAGGAAAATCATGTATAAAGGAACTATAAGAGAAAAAGCAGACAATAACTTCAAGTTCTTTTATTGATTTCATATACAGTCATTTATTTTATGATAAATTGATTCATAAAACACATGTAAAGGAAAGCGTGGAATAGGAAATCTAATGACAAAATCATTTGCGTCGCACTCAAACACTTTGTCTGAAATTCCAATAAATCATTGATGAGATCAATTATTGACTAGAATCATGCTTAGAATTTCATAATCTTAACAGATTGATGAGAACAGCCTAGGTGCATTTCTCGATTATCTTAGCCAGTCATTTTCACTTACTGTTGACTAAATTTACACAGATCCATTCGATTTATCTACAAGTACTGATGAATCATCAGATATGAATGCCCATCTTATTATCACTATGTGATAGGATATGTTAAAAAAAAGAACATAATTTATGATATGTGTAGAACAAGACTATCATGCTCTCTTATATTGAGTACTATTTGGTTCTAAATTGAATCGTTAGTCAATCGCAAAGACGAGTCAGTTTTTCGAACATGTTTTATGCACAAGTATCAACTCTTATGTCTAAGAAATTGACATTCAATTAATACATTCTTGAAGATGAGAGTAAGTCTAAGTAATTATGATTTCGATTACAATAACACTAAAACATCTAATCATATAACTTAAATGATATTTGAAAGAATGTATTGAAATATATAGTAAAGGCTTCTTAATGATATTCTATCATACATAAACTATACTTTTAAAATATTTTCTCGATGTACTTGTACGTTTTGAATTGACTTGAATATTATTTGACATGCTTAATTTTCAACAGAAAAACTTTTATTCTTCTTTTTTAAAAGTACCTTTATTGGTCAGAAATATATGGCAATCATCATTCAGATCATTTATAGTTTTCATGAGGCATTTTGTTTCTTTCAAATTGTTTTTGGAGTCCTTCTTTGTTTTCAGAATCATTATTGCTGACAGTTAAGTAGAAATGAAAACATGAATGTATTGATACTTTCACCTGTATGTACTACTACAAAAGTCACGTTGAATTCACAATACTAGGTCATGTTCAGTTATGATTGTAACTGTAGAAGAAAACGATCGTTTCTTTCTATATTCTTTTAACTCACTATCTTTTTTCTTTGCCCTTCATAAGAACGTTAATGAATATGCAAATATTGTAGTTGATGCAAAAAAAAGATGATTGGAATGTTTAGTTCTATAGTTTTTTCTTAGAAACTATGCCATTATATTTATGAAGTGACAGAATAATTTTTGCACTTTTTCTGTAAGGACATTGTCCTTCATTCGATCGGATGCTGAGCTAATTATTTATATCTTATCGAACAAATTTCACTTCATTGACTTGTAACTTTCTGATGCAATTTTACTTTTCATATTTTTTTTTATTTTTAAGATGTACAAAACATAGAATGTTTCTGAACCACAACCTGCTATCGTTGACAAATCAATTACCACAAAAACATTTAATATCCTTGTGGGATTACTTGTTCTGTTTTCAATTACAACTATTGTTCTTGGCGCGATCGCATTAGGTATTTTGATCAATCGTATAAATTCGAGAGATACAACAAGTTCTCTCAATAATAGTGGACTACTCTCATTTGCTGATCAAATAAAAATTGATGATCTACTGCATCACTTAGAACAACTTCAACTAATTGCTGATCAAAGTAATGGAACACAAGCAATAGGAACTCGAGGATTTAATGATACATTCGACTACATTACTGAACAACTAGAACAAAACACAAATTTAATTGTTCAACATGAGTATTTCATAGTTAAAAATTGTGCAGTTCAAGGAACACCGCAACTACAATCTCAAATCAATGGCCTTGTCGAAGATCATGTTTACTTGACAGATTTTACTCACGTTTTATTTACGCCTGGAGCCAATTTCGATTCCTTTGTTCGATTGGTACCGATTCCAAATCTTGGTTGTCAAAATTCCGATTGGATGAATGTATCAGTGACAGACTCTATCGCTTTAGTCAAACGTGGAGTTTGAACATTTCCGGAAAAGACCCAATTAGCAGAAAAATATCGGACAAAAGGATTGCTCATGTACAACGATGGAATTGCATCAGATCGTTTTCAAGCGGTTCAGTATGTAAGAAGTCATCCGAATGCAACGATTCCAGGCTATTTTTCGTCGTATAACTTAGGAATAAAGTTTGTTAATGCAGCATCCAATGCAAGTGCGAATGCCGGTATAAAAATGATAATTGATGTACGTGATGCAGACGTCGGAAATATTTGTGCTGATACACCAACAGGGACTAAAACTCAAACAATTGTTGTCGGATAGCACAGTGATGGAGTGTGAGATGGAAGTGGAATCAATGACAACGGTAAGAAAAATGTCGGTAGACTAATGTCTTATAGTCATCTCACAATCATAGACTATGAATATTAGTCGTTAACAAAAAAGATTATTTTCTGTCATGTAACGCGTTTCTTTTTTTTTAACCAACCTCTTTAGTAAGATCCATGAACTGGAGGAAGAGAGAAGCTAATTTTTTCTCAGAAATTATTTATCTTGAATAATTAGTTTATCTTTTTTCATTACTATTGAGGTAGTGGTACAGTTGGTAACTTGGTTTTAGCTCTTAATTTAGCTCGTCTATTTGTGACAACTTCGTTAAACTATGCTCAATTTCCATATCGTGTTCGATTCTGTTGGTGGGGTGCAGAAGAAGTCGGTCTTCTCGGTTCTATCTATCATGTTGAACAAGCATCGTTGCCTAGTGCTACTACCGAAAGCGGGCGTCTACAAGATTATTTAGTATATTTCAATTATGATATGTTAGCTTCTCCCAATAGTAATTTTGGTATTCTTGACAGTTTATCCGTTCCACCCGGAACACCCAACAAGACTCTACCCGGTACTGACCGCATTACGAATTTGTTTCAGCAATGGTTTAATGAACAGAAACTTCCGTGGACCAAATCGGGGATTGGAGGTGGTAGAGATTTTGTACCATTTTTGACTGAAGGCATAGCTTCTGGCGGCGTAAATACAGGCGCTGGTGGGTTCAAGTCAGCAACTGAGCGAGATCAATATACAGCACTGTTAGAAACAGGAAATAGTGGATTAGCCAATGTTGCATATGATTCATGTTATCATCAACAATGTGATCGGATAAATAATGTAAACCCATTTGCGTATGAAAAAGTTGTTAAAGCAGCTGATTATGCTATTGAGTATATGGGAAGATTGAGAGATTTGGAAAAATGACTTTATGCAGAAGGACGAGTGAAGAATGTAAACCCTCTCAACAAAAACCATGTCTATAATATTCATTATGATCCTGATCTGTTTTGAATACGACTGAACTAGTCGTGACATCCTCTAGCATAAACTACTTCAAAAAAGTCTAATGAAATGTTTGAAGATTTTTATTAAATACTGACTAACATCGGTCTAATACAATCTACTATTTGTAAAAAGACACATCAAACTAAAATATAAATTTTAACTTAATGTTCAGTGCTCAATTTCGAAAAGTATAATAAGTTAGATGTTGCGCTTTTTTCTTGACACTGATTCTTATGAATAGCATATTAGCATATAAGAATAAATATATTTGTCTTTCGAACAGTCCTCTCTTTTGCTGTAAGTTAACAACAATTTGTTTGAGATCATATTTATTTATTCTTTCCTAACCAAACGTCTTCACCCATGTTAACAGCTCAGCTTATCATACAGAAGCATTCATCTGTAATTACAATCACTGGTGATTTTCTATTCATACAAAAGCCTAATATGAATTATAATTTTACAAATAGGTAATTATGTATCATTTTAAAATTTCTTATATCTATAGAGAGAATATGAACTTGAAAACATCAATTCTAAATCATATAAGCATTCCTTATACGTTCATTCAAGTTTTATAAGCTTTATTTTTAGTTACATGAATTTTTACATAAGTCATGTATTTTTTCGACAAGTCAATCGTCTCGTTTTGTACGAAACATGAATCAAAGATTGATTAAATTTTGATTGTCTTCTGTAGTAGTCTCTCCTTGAATTGTTTCAATATTTGTTGCTAATCGCTGCTTAAATTTCGATGGAGCACCGACAGTAACACTAAAAGTTAGATTTCCAATAGTGAACAACCGAACAGGTACTGGTGAACTATTATTAACCGGTTGTGATTCAGATGAATCAGGATTGTTGTTGTCAACATTCGTCAACAAAGCAGTTGTTTCACCAACTACTGATGATGATGATGATGATGTATTCGACAGGCGATATTTGACGACATAGAGACATCTATGTAATGAGATTAAACAAATATATATTTTTTTTCTGTACCATTCAACTTACATGCTAAGAATCAATGTAATAAGACCAAATCCACCAGATACAAACAGAATTATATTTTTGTGTTGATATGTTGTATTCATAAAGATCCATTTGAAAAAATAATCACCAAATGATGTAATCAATTGATTGATGACAAAGATAAATATAAATGCAATATTAATTTCAGTTGGTTTCAACCATTTTGCTAATATCGATAGAGTCAATGGGTTTTGATAGTTAGCAAACGAATAGAATATACTATTGCTAAATACTTGCCAATTATGTTGTGCAAATGCTGTCCAAACATGTGTTATGAGCAAGAAAGTATTACTGATAGCACAGATTAGAATATCATTTGCTTTTGTCAATCTAGCTAATATATGATAACCAATAATACTGAAAATTCCAAGACATATACTCATTACTAGTTTATAGATATTAATTAACATTGATGACCAACAAATAGGATATGTGGTAAGTGCTATGAAAAATGCTGCAATTACTGAATTCGCTAAAGCATAAAAACCATAAGCAATTAGAGTCAATAAAACACCGATTTTTTGTTGAGTAGTTCGACGATTTCCATAGAAAATAATGAATATATCAAGATTTAGATTAAATCGATTCTTAATTTTCATGTTCGTATGATTATAGAGAGTTAAATCAAAATATCGAATAATAACACCAATTGAGATTAATTGCAAAATAAGTGCAAACCAAAATAGTCCAATATAACCATAATGTTGAACAAAACAATAAATTGAAAATGTTATTAATCCTGCCAATATATTTCTTAGTGCATAAAAACGAACAAACCACAATGATCGATTATTCACAGTCGTTAAATCGACAATAATCAAAGCAATGACAAAATCTAGTGAAAAAAAAATTAATCCATCCTTTCACCTCTTTATATTCATTACATACCTATAATACCCGGATTACCCAATAAACCTAATATAAAACCACTTAAATACCACCAGTAGATTTCTAGATTCAAATAAATGATTGCTAGAGCAATCATCATTTGAATAGTAATACCTACCATGGGCAATATGAGTACAAATTGTTTACCAAGAAACGGTATTGTCATACCAAGTGCACAAGTCATTATGATTCCTGATAAACTATTGGCGATATTTCTTCGATAGACAATTTCATTTCGGTTGGATTTTGGAGTTAATCCGTGTGTTGAAGTGTCATTGTCTATTTGAGGACATGTTTCATTATCATTTTGAAAGACATCATTCAACATATTTTCATTATGCAACGTACTACAATTTATGTTTGGTGCCAATTGTAATGAACTAACGTATGTATCAATAGATAAAATAACACAATAACAAAGTGTCTGTAGACATATGATGGCTGCTATATTGAACAGATTCATTCTCACTCGATTTTTCAAAGGACAACGCAAGTTCTTTATGAAGGTAAACATTGTTGAACTCGAATCGATTAATTCAAATTGTCAATTTTGACGCGAAGACAAACTATTTGTAAACGACGAAATTCAAGGTATGACTTTTTTTAGAACTACGTTTATAAATATGCATCGATCACAGGATGAAAAAGAAAAAGCACTGATGAAAAGAGAAAAAAACACATGTGTCTATTAACAGTCTTGACAAATTGGTTGACTCTGTAATTGACGATGTTAATAAATATATGATGATTTTTATGAAGCATGACGATATTTTTTGTTAGGTTTTTCGTTTTTTTTTTCACATGCCGTTATTTGCTGTAAACCAGCGACAAACATGAAACTGGAAAAAAAAAGAAAATACAATCTTTACCATCGTCGTTTAATTAAAACGTTCTTTATTGAACGATGAGCATCAGTATGGAAAGAAATTATAATGACAACGGACTTGATTCGGTGCATGATCTAATTGATTTCATATCCTATGATGAGGACTGTAGTTCACCATCATATACAGTAATCAGTGTCGAGCAAATTAAAGCTATAACAAGAACTCACTACAACCAAGAAAGGAAATAAAACTATGAACAAAGTGATTTATTACTTAATATGAGTAAATTACATGTTGAATATCGCTTGTTTTGATCTGATTAAAAGTATATTCGAAACATAAGACATTTTGTAATGTCGTTGTTACTTTACAGTGACGATATTGCGGTTAAAATAGATGAAAGTTACTGCTTTCGTACGTAGAAAATAAAAGAGCAAAAACTCTGATATATCATTGAATTGAGTAAACAGTATGGTGACATCTATTCTAACCGATGGAACAGAAGTTCTGAATTTAATTTTGTTTTCCATACAGCACTCAAACGGAACGACGTAGAGAATTGATTCTCTATGTTCTTTTTTTGTTAGAAAGGGTAAAATATCTACTGTAAACATGAGTCAAAGAATGTAATTCGGAATGTTTTTCTTCTGAAATTTGAAAGATATGTGTAATCAAATTCTTTTATATACGTTTTCACTAGATATTTTGCTTTTTCTAACAAACAAAAGAATACATTTTCGAGGATTTCGCATTGAATTGCTATATTAAAAACAAAATTATTGTATGTCTTGTACTCCACTCGATATAATTCAGATGAATGTTGAAATCATCCATCATGACTATTCTCAATTATCTCATTTCGATTTTATCAATGTTTTCGATGTAATACAAATTAATGGATGAAAATTTTATTAGTCAATATCAAGTTTGCTTCAGCTGGTAAAAATTCAACTCAATCGTAGTGAAGAAACAGACAAGTACTCAATGATTCAATGGAACTGAGAAATTGGTTGAATCAAAAGAAAAAATTTTGAACCTCAGCATAAATCTTCGAATATTATTGACAGAGGTCTTTCTTCATCACAAGATCATTAGATCAGCCATATCATTTTCTTGAGTAAAAAAATTGTCGAAATTGTTTAGGAATGTATAGACCAAATGAATATTATTTGAAAGAAATTTAACGAAAAAGAAGATGTAGAAACTAGATGTTGTAATTGGTTAACTTCAAATTATTTTTTATCTAGACTATAATGCGGTAGGAAACATCCCCATGAATAAACTAATGCAAAAATGTTAACGTAGTCTAATCTAGTTTATGGCAAGTTATTGGTGGTCGTGTGCCATCTACAACATATCAAATAAATAAACAGAACTTTTTCCAACCTTTCTTTCTAAAACACAGTTGTAAAATATTGATCTTGAATGAGCTAAACTGTTGAAGTTTCATCCGATGAAGGTTCTAATGAAAAAAGAAAAACATAAAATATAGAGGAAAACGGAATCATTAACAATAAAATCAAAACATTTTCTGAAAGAATTCTTTTTTTCTATCTCGTTTAAAAAGAACATATATGAGAATATAAAATATGAAATCAATCAGTATTATTTTTAAAAGAACATTGTTAATAGAGAAGAAGAGCAGGATGTGGGTGTAGTTGTCAGTACGAGTGTGAATGTGGGTAAGTTGATTTTCTCTTCAGTCATACCTATATTCATACTCCCGCACCATATATCCAAACTTACTCACTCTCACACCCACACTCTCAGAAAAACATGTTAATCAGTACTTTCAAAGAACTGGTTTGTATAATATTTCAATGTGAGAACTCAGACTTCCTTTTTTTCACATTCATTCAGGACATATTTCCTTTTATTAATCATATGGAGCAAGTGTTCCAATACTGTGCTAAAAATTGATGAAATCATTTAGAGAAAAGAATTTTATTTGATGATGCGAAACCATTCAAAAAAGAAAGATATAAAATTGAAATTCAGCAAATCTGCTAATAGTTTTTTTCGAACGGCTTTTATAGTTTTGATAGTAGAAGTATAAGTATTGATTCCCTTTTAGTCTTGTTGAATTTTATCCTCCAAAAACTGGCCCTGCTGATCCTGCCGGTAATGTTGGTGGTAGCTGTGGCCCTATAATCTGTCGCGGTTGATGAAGAG